TCCTGTTGCGGCATGGGGAGCACGGCATGTCTGCTAGGGTGAGATGGGTCCTCTGTGTGAGGTGGGCCAACCAGGATGCGTGACCTTAACAGCCTGCCGAAACGTCTCCACATGTTCCCTTATGAGCCAATCCACTTCCGTAATCCACCACCCACAACTCACGCTCTGTAAGATATACCCAGTGTCGGGCTGGTGAGATGGCTCAGTGGTCTAAAGCACCTACTTAGAACAAGCTTAGCAAAGCACAGGGACCATGGTTCAATCCCCCAGCACCACATGCCAGCCAGCCCCGCCCCCTGGTGGGCTGAGCTGGCCACACACACACACACACACACACACACACACACACAATTTTTTTAAAAAAAATTTTTAAAAAAAGGATATACCCGGTGTTTCCTGTGCATCAAGATAGGGTATGTTAATGAGGATAGCTCCGTATAGACTGCTTTTGAGCTTTGTTTCAGAAGATATCAATATTGAAAGGCAGCTGCTTATCATCCTTTTGAGTGCATAGTTTGGCACTTTCTGAGCCCTTTCAGATTCTAGATGGGAGCTTTGCTTTGCATACTTTATGTTCTCCTCTTATGTGGAATCTTTGCCCTGATTTGAATAACATGTATAGAATAAATAGAACATATAAAAGTTTCAGAGGCCGGGCAGATAGCTCAGTAGAATAAGCACTTTCCTGGCAACCACAAGGGCCTGAGTTCAATCCCCAGCTCCATACACACACACACACACACACACACACACAAAAAAAAAAAAAGTTTCAATGTGTTGTTTTCAAATTTATATTTGAAAATATAATGAAGTATTTGCTCCTTAGATCATTTAACTTCTATTGTTCTATTGTTTGAATCTAAAAGATACCCATTTCTCCTTTCTTTCAAGGTTTTGAACTTTTAGCCAGGATTTCTGAGCTGGCGCTACTTCCGAACATCAGGTGCAAGGCAGTGGCCATGATGCATCATGGCACCATGGCCCTTAGGGCTCTGTCCTGCCTGCCAATTCATAGAAAGAACCACCGCATGAATGAAATCCACCTACCACAGAGAGCTTGTGTGTAGACAGTACTCCCTGACTCTCCTGAATGGAGGCAGGAGGCAGCGCTTTTCTCTGAAGGGTCCTTTCCAGCCTGTCACTGAAACGGGGCTCTGTACATAAATTAGTGCATGCCGTGAATCACTGTCTCAGTAGTGGCCTAGGTCTCAAGTGCTCTCAGACTCGCACAGATTCCGCTCCCAAGTATCCTGAGAGATAATTGGGAAGCCCAGGCACTGAGAGACTTGAGCATGCTTGGCCAGGCATGGAAGAATTAAAGGATCAAGGGCAGAAGTGCAAAAGGAGAAGTACGTCCCATTCAAGTGCCAGGCTTAGAAAGAAGGCCAAGAGGTAATGAAGGAAAATGGTCCTGCCTTGCATTTGGCTAAAACAACTGAAATTTCTATATATTTGGAAATTACCAGAATTGACAAGGAAGCTCTAAAAGAGGATGTTAAGGAATAGAATAGCTACTAAAAAAAACCCAAAAAGGTATAGTTGCTTACATCACTGTCCATAAAAAATCTCCACAAAACACATCTGCCACCAATTTCCAGGTAACCCTTCCTCCACAGAGAGTGGCACTAGCATCCTGGTGCCTGTGTGGCGCTGTAGGCACGGAGCAGACAGGCAAGGAGACGACCGCAGCGATCAGGGCTACTGTACTTGTTTTTCTCGGTTCGTTCTTAAAGGTGGTTCCAATGCCAGCAACAGAAACCACAACCGAAAAAAACTAACATTTTGTTCACTAGCAGTTCTAGGATTGTTTAAAGGTAGAACAATAACTAAAGCCAAATGGAACACTCTACTGCTTCATGAAATGTGGTAATTTCTTACAAACCCTTTAGGAATTCCTTGAAAGAAAGTACATTCTTTATGTTGGTGGCCCTAACTGGTAGCTGACGTGGGATGGGAACACTCACACAACACTGGCCATAATCCCAAGAGGAAGCTATAATGAGCTTTCTTTTAGCAGCAGAACTGGGATTTGAACTCAGGTAGGTAGCAGAGCTCCCACGTTTATTCTCCTTTCCACCAAGAACTACAAACCAAAAACCACTCAGTATTGTGGGACAGTTGCAACCATGTGATGCACATCAAAGATCCAACAACAATTTCTGCACTCAGATTTTAAAAAGGAAAAAAAAAAACTTTTGCATAACTCTGACTGAAAACAAGCAAGATTCGCATCAAGGAAAGGCTGTGGCTTGCACACAGCTGGGAAGCTGACCACACCTTGGCCAGTGCTGAAATCAGTGATTGCCCTGTCCACTGCCTGGACTGCCCTGCCCACTGACGAGGCTGTGCCCTCCCTCTGCCAGCTTGGAGGCTGCACTGCTGCCTGGACTTCTAAGAACACCAGAGCTAAGACACCAGATAGGACCAGTTCTCTTTGTGACTGACATTTGTCCTCGAGGGCAAATGGACCCCGAGGGTTCAGAAGCTACTTGCCAGAATTTTCCTTTCTGTTGTCCTCATTTTCTTTAGCTTTGACAGAAGCCAAGGAATTACTCAGTTTCAGTACAAGAGGACTGGGAATGGTGAGCACACTTAACTTTGCAAGGGTCGCCCTTGGCTCAGCTGGCTAGCGGCCACATGATTCACGTGATTCACGGCCTAGCCTTGTTTACCCGGCTCCTGTCAGAACACAAAGCATTCTTCCTGCTGGGCCAGGCTGGCTGCTACTGAGGTGGCCTGTCTCTATGCCAGAGGCAAGTAGGATGCAAATGCAGGGGGAAGGGCAAATAGATGAAATCACCGTCCCTATTTAGAGAGGAGAAAAACAGTCCTCTGAAATGCAGGGATGACAGGGTGTGACCCAGGCAGTTATCAACCACCATGAGACCCAGAGTGTAAAGTAGGGGTTTAGAAGAGTGACTTGCAAGGAATGAGGTAGCAAAGAGGCAGAGTCCCAAAGTGACATCCAGACCTTGCACGCTGCAAGAAGTCTGTGTCCTGCCACTGCAGCATACAAGGCACTACGTGGTATGACCCGATCAAAGAAATTCAGCCAAGAGGTGGAGCCCTGGGGACATTTGTTGGGCACTCTATGCTAGGCCCACTTCTCACACTCTCTCTCACTCTCTCCACAACAATCCTGAAAGGGTGTATTATTTCCCGATTATCTGAGGTAACTCAACTCTGAAAGGAGTATGGGTTTGAAATGATGCGTGTTTGCCTCCACAGCCTCTATTTCTTCCACTACATGACAAATCTCCCTGACTCCTTGTCTCCAACTTGAGCTCCAGGTTTGTTTGGTACAAAGTGCTTCCGTAAAGCCCCTTGCTGGTAGCAAGGGGCTCAAGGCACAGATTATGTCCTGAGACTCTACATGCAGGCATAAAATGTTCTTTCTTTTTTAATGGTAGCAACATTTTATTAAAGGTAGTAAAAGAAACAGGCTCTGTAGAATAAATTCGAGCGGGGGGGGGAATCCCCCCCTTGATGTTATGCTCTACCCTACGGCATGAGGGTGGGCCACTACACAAGGGAGAACACAGTGACCTAAAGTGTTATTTATGCAATTTCTTCCCTTTCTTGGGAATTGGCGTTCTGCTTTTCTAGCTCCTGGCTGCCAGTCTGGTGTCACCTTTACCCATCACATCAGCTACTCAAGGGGAAATCCTCCCATCCTGAGACACTCCAGTTCTCTTGATTTAACTCTGACCAAATGCTTTTCCTGCTGCCTCTGACATTAGAGGTTCATGGGGTCATTGTCTGTCTCTATCACCGTCCCCTACCCCTTGATGTTATGCTCTAGAACTACATGGTTAGAAGGCCAGGGAAGGGCTCTTCGTTCATTCAGCAAGGGTTTGCTGAGTGTATACAGTGAAAGTGAATTTGCTCTACTTACTGGGAACAGGGAGAGAATTAGCCTTGGGTTGCTCCTCCAACACCCTAGGTCTCTGCCCACCTGTTGGAACGAGCCTATCTGGTGACAGTCCTGGGCGCTAAGCAAGAGTACCTGATGTCCTCGTGCATGACTTCTCTAATCAGCTGGGCCTGGACCTGTTCTCATTTCCTCTATTACGTGCTGTCCTCTAGAGTTTTCTTTTCTGGACCTATTACTATATTTTCTCTTCCTACTTCTATCTGAAAGCAAGGCATTATATCTCTAATGAGTAAGAAAATGCGAGGCTGCATGCACCCTGGAATAGAAGGTGCTATCTTCTCTGAGCAGTGGTTTAGATGCCCAACCAAGCAGGAAGACTTGAATCAACGGCAAGAGACAATGCTTTTCAGGCAAGAGTCTTAGCAGGATGGTAACGTGCATTGAGTGAAATTTCCATGTTTCCCTGGGTTCAAAACTCATTTCGCACGAGAGGAGCCATGACTTGTCCCCGCATTCCTGCTGCTCAGCAATGCTCAGAGCACAATGCACCTGTTACTAGGAGCCCTGGAGCTGAGCCAGAGCTCTACACGCAGCCCTGAACTTGACGATGGTTAATTTTCACAAAGAAAGAATCACCTTTGCTCACCTCTCCCTTCCACATTCTTACTGATTTGTAGTAACTTCTGAATTTTCAGCCTGAAATGATTAGAAAGAAGTCTTTTTTCTTCTTTATAGTTTACAGACAGTTTCAAAAACAAGAGCAGCCACTGTCGTATGTTTCCCTCATTTCCAATATGAAGTTGGCCAACTAAAGGTGAGGTACTCCTCCAGGCAGACTAGTGAGAGGGCTTCCATGAAAAGCACTGCTCAGCTCACTTCAAATGAGACTTGCACTCACACATAGAACAGCTGAGAACCAGGAAATGTCACACTTGGTAGCAGATTAACTCTAATGGCCAGTAAGAAAACAAACTTGGCTCTGAAAAAAAAAAAAAAAAAAACCAAAACAAAACAAAAAAAAACCCAAATACACATACCCAAAGACAAGCCAGAAAAACCAAAGCAAGAACAAAACAGATGCCACCGTGTCTGGAAGGTGTGGGCTGTTTCGCATGCGGTCACTTACCCACACAGGAGGAAGTCCCATTCCTCGGGATGGAACCTGCAGGACAGTTCCAGGACTGCTGGGCTGAGACACTAAGAAAACTAAAGTTAAAAACTACAGGCAGCAGGAGCGTGAGCAGGAGCAGCATGATCCCCATTGGCTTACACTCTCAGTGGACAAGAAATTGTTTTGCTTCAGGAATAACACCCACAGGGTCACCACTAGGGCTTCTGGCCCTGGGACATCTTTCCCTCTTTCCCTCTGCTGTTTTGCTGCTGCCCTCCAGCAAATCTTTTGCCTCTGCGGAGCTTCTGAAAGCAGCTTGAAAATGCTCCGGGAAAGATTTCTTTATCTATGTTTTTTTTGGAAGCCTGAAAGAAATACCTGACACCCACATGACAAATTTCACAGAGTTTAACAGCCCTCAGAGGCCCGCAGCTGCCTTCCAGTGAGAGGTAAGATCTTAGAGAGAAGAAAGTGGAGAATCGTGGAACTGCAACCCTGAGGTGAGGCTGGGGATCATTCCCCAGACTCAGTTCCTCCTGAAAAGTAGAAGGACTGTCCTCTCCTTTTTAAAGCCCTGTGGCTCCTCCTCCTCCTCCCTTCCGCGACACTACAGTGAGCGTCTATTTGCAAATGTCAATTCCACAAGACAGGACAGCAGGGCCAGCTGCCAGAGAGAGGATAGCTAATGCTCACCAAAGATATTTCTGGTAGACTAGGGAAAGAGCAGCTCAGGGGACAAAGGAGCTAACACAGGTAGCTGCTGATTTGGGGCTATGTCTTAAAATCTTGAAGGATAGAGGCACAACTAACGTGGGTATTTTGGATTTATAAGACTTGATCATTCACATCAACAACACCAAACATAGCCTAGCGTCAGCTCGTGGTTGGAATGAAATGTCAACAGCTGCACACTTTCCTGGAGCTTCCTTTCTTTCTCTGTCCCGTATATTTTATAGCGGAACTTCGAAGATTATTCTTTCCAAATCAAAGGGAAATCCCTGGAGAGAAATGAAGAGAGACCATATACACAGACACCTTGTCTTTCAGCATGAGTGTAATAAAAAATCCCATGGAGCCAGGAGTGCAGGGACGGGAGTGCATTGTTAGACAGCCACGCTGGAAAAAATAAGCTAATTGTGCAGAAACCAGGAAATGCCGGGAAGCCGGGGCAACGGGATGCAGCTCTTTTCCCTAACATCTATGCTGTTTCTCTGAGATAGAATAGAAAAAAAATAAAGATCTGTGGAAAGGATACAAGGGAAATCAGAATTTTATAATTGTACTTTTAAAGAAAGTTGAAGCTCTGGGACACAAAATTTACGTAAACCGTTTTCTCTTCCAGGATACTATAAAGCAAAACGAAACAAACTCCTAAGAGTCTTACAGGTACAACAAGCCTGTGAATCAGGCTTGTGCTTTTCATCTGTAAATTACTTTCTCCTGCAGACCTGAACCCTCAAGGAAGAGGTAAGAGCAGCGAGCAGTAGATTTCAGGTGCAGACAGGTAAATGCTTTGTGCTCCGACACAGCCCCCACACGGGGGACCTATAGGGCTGGAGGAACTCGTGCCCAGTCCGTCCATCTGGAAGACACTGCTAAGACCCACAAACACAACCAGCTCTGGATCTTAAGGCACCATCTCTCTTGAGGGGTCCGCACTCTATTTCTTTGAATGTGTCCGTGAAATTCTGCTTAAGAAATCCCTTTGTGCTTCTGACTGACGAGTTCCGAAAATTCTTTCCTACCATGAAAGTCAGCGACTGAATTCTGTGGGTAGGGTAGGTCGAAGGGGCTCTTTTGGCCATGGCTGGTGAGATGCGAAGCACCTCAGTGACAGAAGGTGGAGCCAGACTGCCTAGGAGCGGTTCTCTCTGCTGCTTTTTTCAGGATCTTGCCCAGTTCAGAAACAGCCAGCAGGGCCCTCACCCCAGATTGGATGCACAGTGGAACTTTCTGCCACTTTTCTCCAGCCTGGAAAAAGACTTTCATTTATGTTGCCCTGAGGTAGTGTTCCAAAAGCTAGGCCAAGTGCTGAGAAAGCAATAGCCACAAAAATAAGTCATGCCAGCGGACACTCGATAGAGGGCAGAGCAGCTCTCAGGCCTCTGTGCATAGTTAGCTGGCTCCTGATCATTTCTCAAAGACAAGCATGACTTCTTCCACGGCAGCCAGCTCTGCCAACAACTCTGAGCAAGCCTGAGGAAGAGCACCTGGAGGGTCCCCAGAGTCTAGGATGGGTGTGGGAACGTCCCACTGCCTTCTGGATCAGGCTCACCTATGCTGACTCTGCAGGGTATCTGCCCTTTGAATGGGTGTCCCTCTCCACAAAAAAACAGCAAGGACTATTGTAGGTAGCTCAATTAGGGAGAAATGTTATAGGCAGTCAGACAGGCCTGGGCCCTTGAGACCCTTAATGCAGAAGACAGCTGTGGCCGCAGGCACATTCACTGAAGGCCAGGCTTCAGAGAATAAGAGGAGCTACTCATGTTATACACTTCCCTTAGGGGTAAACAGCAGTGACTGATACTCTAAGTGGGTGTCAGTCACCCTGGGGTGCAGGGCCAAACCTCCATAACCCACCCTTCCAGTCCCTGACTTTGGCAGCACCACTGGCTCCATATTACCTAAATGACTATACTCGCAGTGTTATTGATCCATTACAGTTCTGTTCCACCTCGGGCCCACCTCACCTAATGTTTATGCTCAATAACCATCCAGGAGAAGTGGGGTTGATGGGCACCCCACTCTTTGGGCTCCCATCTGTCCCTTTTAGACAGAGGCTTTCTTTCTCTCAATAAATTCTTCCTATTCTTAGCCTCCGTTGTGCCTAGAATTCATTCCTCAGTGTTAGAGAACGAACTCAGCATTTTGGACATCTAGCAAGTTGGGAGCTCTATTTCTCCTCTATCAGAGCAACCTAGCAGGAAGCCTTGCACTCCCAGGGAATGACATGAGCATACACTCCAGTGACGTTCTATTTGCATCTGGAATCTGTCATCCTTTACGCTGTAAGGTGGTTTGCTCTCCGAATAACACATCATCAGTGCTATGTTGTTCTCTTGTTGATCATAAAGACACTTGTCTGTGTCTTTATGGGGTCCAGGCAGCTCTAGTGCATGCCCAGCTGGTGACTGATGCTGAGGACTGAACCAGCTAATTTACACATCACTAACAGAGGCACAGAGAGTCGAGGCACAGAACAGAGCTGGCCCAGGGGAAAGGACTTCAGAAAGGTTTAATATGCTTTTATTCTTCCAGATAGTCCTGAATCTTTCCTGGGTCAACGAGCATCCTCCTCTAAAGTTGGTCAGAAATCCATTATAACCTTATAGATATAAGCTGCTAAACAGGATTAATTTCTGGAGTTGGGTCCAAATGAACTCATTCATCAGTTCAACAGCTCTATGTGATAGGGCACTGTATGTGGTATAAAACAACAGAATTCATGGTCCTTCATATCAGGGGCTCAGTGAAGCAATTATCAAAGAAAAGTAAGAACAAGCAGTGATTGGCTAGTACAGTGAACAAGGGATGATGGCACATGCCCGTAGTCCCGCATTCTGGGGGGCTGAGGCAGGAGGATCACAAGTTTGAGCCCAGCCAGGGCAGTTTTGCAAGAACTTGTCTCAAAGAAAAAAGAAAGAGGAGACAAAGAAAGTGAATGTTTATTTTTTTTTAATTACAAGCACCTTCTTAGCATAAGAGATAGTGTGCCAATCTGTAACTTTTTTTATACTAAAAGACATATAGTCAAGAACAATGGGTTAAATTTACCCTGAGTATTCTAGCAAGGCAATTAATGGCAATGTGTCTCTTACTGTAGTAAAATTTCAAAATTAAACATTCACTAACCCTAACCCTAACCCTAGCAAGGATGATGGGGGAAATGTGTTTGGAGTGAAGGGCAATATTCTGAGAGGGGTACATATCAACATGTCTTTTCTTATAGTACATTTTAGTTTAAGCATTGACTCTACCTTTTAATCTCCCTGCTTATGAGCTTGTGATTGGCCAATCACCGCACATCCTGAGCGTGCCTGGGAAGAAGAGGGGTTGCGATGCCCTTTAGGGGCTGGAGCATGCAGTGAAGCTTTGTGTAATCCTTAGGAAGCCTTGGATGGGTGTAAGCAAGCAGCCATGGTAACAGTAGGTGTAGAACAAGAAAGGAACTATTTCTTAGGTCCTTAGAAGCTGTGGGGACAGAGTTGGTTGTGGGTCCTACTGGTAGATCCCTAAGAGAAGCAGACATCAGTGGTGAAGAGACAGCTTTGGATACATTTAAGTGTTAGTGGGCAACAATGATCAGAGTAAGAAGCGAGGCCAGGCTGCTGGAAGTATGTTTATGTCACTGTTCTAAATGTTCAGTTAAAAGATTCCTATTAAGACCCAAAGCAGGCTTTTCCTCCCTGGCTGTCTGAGGATCCACTGCCATCGTGAATGACACGGTAACTATCTGAATCCAGAAGTTCATGACCAACCGACTTCTTCAAAGGAAACTAATGGTCATTGATGTCCTTCACCCTGGGAAAGCAACAGCACCTAACACATAAATTTGGGAAAACTTGCCAAAATGTACAAGACCACACAAGACATCATTTTTGTGTTTGGATTCAGAACCCATTTTGATGGTGGCAAGAAGACTGGCTTTGGCATGATTTATGATTCCCTGGATTATATGAAGAGAAATGAGCCCAGACATAGACTTGCAAGACACGGCCTGTATGAGAAGAAAAAGATCTCAAGAAAGCAGTGGATGGAACACAAGAAGAGGATACAGAAAGTCAGGGGCACCACAAGGGCTAACGTTAGTGCTGGCAAAAAGAAATGAAGTAGCAGCGAGCTGGAGATTGGCAACAGCCGAAGGAGTAGAGATTCTGCAGTGCCTGTCTGCAGTGACAGCAACTTTTTTCACAAGGGGATTTTTTTTTTCACAAGAGGATTTAATAAACTGTAAAACCTTCACCAAAAAAAAGACCCAAAACACTTTCTTTTCCTGGGTCATACATCATTATATTCAATGATTGATTAATCACTACAATGACTATAGCACAGACCAGTTGCATCCTGTGTGTCATGTATATTGAAAGCAGATGTTTAATTCATGTTACCTCTAACCCTCAATGCTGCTGTGCCAGGGGAAAGAATATTGTCACATCCAGTACCTAAATGAGAACCCTGAAGACCAGAAGAGCTGAGTGCTTTGCTCAAGATCGTGCCCACTTGGGGAGGCCAGGAGCTCTGAAGTCTTGGGCAGTCCCCCTGCTCTGAATAAAAGGGTGGTACAAGCGGCAAGGCAGCTGTGTTCGGTAAAGCGTGCATTAGCACTTCACCTGCAGAAATGCAATGCAGGCTCTTCACGGCCATGTCTGCCAATGAATAACACTTACCAGGGAAGAGCTGAGATCATTTTCTTGTTTTCAGAAAAAAAGTAGTTAGCACTCACGTGCCATTCCATGTGACTCAATTGTGCTAGAAATGCAAATAGTGTTAGAGGAAAATAAATCAGAAAAGGCCCAGGCAAAGGAATTAGCTGTGTAGAGCAA